TTTACTACATGCTATCTATATTTGAAGTCTCCTCAGGTTTTTCCTTTCTCAAGTATTTCCATCTGAAGTTTACATTAGAATGTGGCTTTAGGTGTAGCTGGCAGCAAGTTAAAGTCTGTGACCTGCCTTAGCCCAAAAATATCTACGTTAGGAGGCTTGAATACGATACTTACTGCTCGTCTTTTGTCAGTCAGTTCCCCAAAATCAAACACAGGTGACTGAACCTTAAAATACACAAGAAGTAATTCCCCTGAGGAGAGAAAGGGGGACCTTACATTTGTGGAAGGGAAATTTTCTTCCCGATTGTGGGCATATATTCCAGCAGTATAGGAGAACGACAGGTAACTATGATTTCTGCAATTCAGAGGAATAAAAATGATAGCAATTGGTTGGCCAGAGAGGAAGAATCTATTTATTTAAAACCTGTGTGAGACATATTCAAATAAAACTTCAAATAAAATCAACCATACTTGGTTTCACCTATCTTTATGGATGTAAAACTGCAAATGTCTTCTAATAAATCTTATGGTTCATTAATATCCCCAGTAAAATTGAGGCAGATATTTCATGAATTTTCACTTCCTTTAAATGGAAATAAAGCAAAATTATGATTTAATGTGGTTTCAACTGGGGCTGATAAGAAGGCTATTTCAAATATAACACTATAAAGCAAAACCATGTGTTGAAAAGCAGCAAACCAGGCACTTAAAGATGGAAAATATCAGCGCAAATTCCTAAAAAACAAAATTTCCAAGGTTTCAACACCTCTGTGATTTCAGAAACCAGTAGTACAGCAAAATTAACACATATGCAGCACAAGATTAATATATATCCCCCATATACATGCAGGGATAGTCTGGCATCATGTGGTACATACAGAGAATCTAGGATGGACTTTTACATGACTGGCTGTATTCCTCCTGTACTGATTAGCACAAAACCAGGACTCTGCTCAGGCATTAGTCTTCCCTTGTGATCAGTGGCTTAATAATTAAAGAAAACTCAAGGATAGCCTCACTAAACTCATATGTTTATCAATACCCTAGTGAAAGCAAGGGATTATAGTCACTGTAGCATGCAATGACTAACTAGTGGTTTTGATCTTTTACAATTTACTAACAATTTATAACTTCCGCTGGCTTTATTTTATACTTAGGTGCTCTAGAAGTTACCTCATTAACAGAACAAAATTTGTGTTTAGCTGTACACTGTGAGCCATGAAATATGGTTCAGCATTTGTGACAGAGATTTTTTTAGACACTAAGATCACAATCATTTATCACTATTGGTTTTTTATCTGTTTTCATAGCATTTTATAAACAACATATTTGAATAAATGACAGTTTCAAAGAGTTTAATGGCATGAACTACTCTTTCATGCTATTGCACAGAAACTTGTCTAATGATCACGTGCCTTTGGCAATACAGCATTTGTTTGCAGGAGAAAGCTTAGTATTTCATGGACATTTGCTTTTTTGGATGTATGTCAGTGGGAGGAAACAAAAGACAACACATGGGCATTTACATCTCACAGGAAGAATTTAACTGGATCCCAGTGGCTGATAGGTCAAAACATGAGAATTCCTGACCCACACATCAAATAGGGTTTAACCAATAATGTAGAAATAATTTATGCATTCATACTGCTGTTCTTCTTCCAGTCTTTGAGGGTAACATAATTGTAGTCCAGTTTTGCTCAGTGTTTTTGACCTGCAATAAAATTTATTTGGCTCTCATTTTGTTAATTTCAAAATAATGTTTAAAATGGCAGGGAAATGAGTAATCAATTTAGCAAATCCACAGCTAGATTGACAAGTTTTTACTGATATTACTGTGCTTACCATTCCAGTGATATTATTTAAGTCCTGGTCAGAACTGTACACCAAAAACACATCTACGTGAAAACCCTGAATTTGGATACTCTGTATTTAGAGACATTTGGATTTGGATTCTGATCTGTACTTCGCCTCTGACTTAAGTCTAATAACAGTGAAACTAAATCTCTGATTTAGACACCCTATGACTTCTATATTCGCAGTCAAAATGGAAATTTCTGACTATTCCTGGTCATTTATCCTTTATCAAGATGGAAACCAAAATAATAGAACATGAGCAAATATGACAGAATAGAAAAAGGAACAAATCTAAAAAGGCTGCTTTTGGTTTTTCCATGTTATTATTCTACATTTGCAGCTTTCACTCTTCCAAAATCTAAAGAAATACTTGGGTTCATGAGAGAACAAAGACAGTTCTTTTACACATCTCCAGAAAAAAAAGGAGAAATCTGAATATATTTAAACTTCAATTGTATCTCATAAAGAATCATTGAAAAGATGAGAGTGCACCTAATAGTCATATATGTCACTGTACATTGCAAGTCAGTTTTATTGGGGGTGATATATTGCTGAAAATGCATGTTTGGGTTAGAGCATTTTGGAAACTCTTAAGCCAATAAATACAGACCTGATATGACATTAGGATATACTAATCAGTTCCCAAAACCATGCAGAAGACATTGTTTATGACAGTGTTTTCCAACAATCTTAACAGCCCCTTTCTTCACCTAGAAGCTGAAATTGTTTTAGTTGTATTTCCCCTAATTCTTCTCATATATTCAGTATTGCTTTAGCTTGTACTTACTGCATGTACTCTAACCTAAATCCCTTGCAAGATAAAGAAAAACAAACTTGCTGTTTAGAGAAGAACATGCATGTAGAACATATGATATGAATTGGAGGGAGGTTGTGATTTATACAGAGACTGAACATTATAAATAAAAAGGTTATCATGTATATTCAATATATGACCCCTAATTTGGGGATCTACAGATTGTCATATTGAAAAAAGCAAAAATCAAAGAATGCTTTGCCTGCAAGTATTGTGGTGCTGCTTTTCCCACTGTGAAATGTTTAAGTCAAACTTATTTTCTATCACACTGTTTTTCTTCCACACATTATAGCTTTCAAATTGTCAAATTATAATGCCATTAATCTTTTTTAAAAAAAAGCTCTTTTAAAAAATATACATGAGACTCTTCTGAGTATTTATCCTTATTTGCATTGTACATATTTTGTGCAGAGGAAATGTATCTCCAAAGACCTCTTTAGAATTGTCTTGAGCAGTGTATTTCTCTAGTTCAACCAAAAAAATATTTAAATGGAACTAAATGTGTGAAAATAATTCAATGGAACTATCTAACACATACAAAGGTTCTAATTTATGCTAA